CCTGTATATAGAAGTGTTTTAAAACTTTTGAGATTGGCATTATTTTAAAACAGCAGCATGTGCTCTTTTCTTTCTTTCTTTTTATTTATTTATTTTTTACATTACATTTTTATTTTAACATTATCCATTTAACATGGTGCACCAATTTCATTTTTTTTCTCTCTCAAGTCAATACTATCCTCTTATTAATTTATTAGTTCTGTTTTATGCATCCAGTTTTACAGCTGACAGGCGCCCATAGTCAGTGATTTTTGTCTCCCGCAAGACCGAATTTCTTCTGAGAAGGAATGAAGTGAGAATCATGCTGCAGACTTGCTTCTCTTTGTCCAGAACTTATCATTGACATTTCTAATTCATGTACCATGCTGTAGCCTCCCTGAAGACATCTGTCTTTCTCTATTGTATTGAAATTTATCGTGTGATGCTGACTTGGTGAGGGGACTGTGACAGCTCTCTTTCTCTCTCTCTCTCTCTCTCTCTCTCAGGGTCTCTCTCTCTCTATCAGAGGCAAGGTCTCTCTCTCTCTCTCTCTCTCCTCTCTCTCTCTCTCTCTCTAATGCGACACTTGGATTGTTTGCTGCTGTGCACAAAGCAATAATGTGTTTGTCACCCACTGCCAAATGTCTTATACTGCGCCATTCATCTTTTTACATTCCGTTTTCTGTGCAACAATGTGAACGTATGTCCTACTTTCGTGTGACAAGTTTGTATCTGATCCATTAGCACTTGGTATATATTTTGGGGCTACTATCTCACCAAATAATTGCTTAATATCTTTAAAAGTGATGGAATTGTAGACAGTTTTGTTTTTGCTAAGGTTGATTAGCTTATTAGCTTGAGAAACCATATTCAGTCAGGTTGATGCTAAAAGTCAATTAGTTGTAGATAATTAGCTGAAGGCTAAAAGAGATGAGGCAGATCCGAGGAAGTGGCAACTTGAAGGAGGACAGACAAGAAAGGAGGGGCAGGTTTGTGCAAAAAATGTTGAACTCAYTGCGAAGTTTGACTGGTAACCAGTGACGTTTGTAAAGAATAAGAGTGATGTGGCATTAGGAGGGGGTTCTGGTGATGATATGGGCTGATGAGTTCTGAAGCAGTTGAAGTTTATGAAGGGATTTTTGAGGAAGACGAAAAAGAAGAGAAATGCGACAGTCAATTTGGGAGGTAACAAAAACAGTGAATAAATATAGCAGTAGTATGAGGGGTGAGATGGAGGTGGAGATGATTGATGATGCAAAGGTGGAAATATGCAGACCTGGTTATTAGAGGTGTGCCAAAAAATCAATTCATATAAGAATCTCGATTCTCGCTTACTACGATTCAAAATCGATTTAAAATGTCCCAAAATTTATTCTAAAGAAATAAAACAAATACAGTGAAGTCTCCCTTGAAGTTGTGGTGAAGTCTCACGTAACTACAAAATTATGCGAGACTTCACCACGCATTAGGTTCTCGGACATATGCAGGTGTGGAAAGTTTCAAAACAAATGGAGATTCAACCGGTCCTGTCTTCGTTGGTTTTTATGGAATGCCGGGGAAGACCGAGCTTGACATGAGCTTCATTGTGTGCAAGGTTTGCAAAATGAAGATCAACTACTTTGGGGACACAACAAATGTGCGGACTCACATAACCAGGCATCACCCGGAGTAAAAGTATTCGGAGCAGAGTCAGCCACCAGCAGCAGACCAATGCACACTGCAGTCCTTCACCAAACTGTCCACCAATTCYGAGCTGGCAAAAAAAAAGTATAACCTGGTCTATCTCCTGCTTCATCGCCAAAGACTTACAGTGTGGTGGAGAACAAGGAGCAGAGGTATACCTAAGTCTTTCACTGAGACAGCTGTGCTGCATTACCAAGAAACTAAAAGGAAAGGATTAATGAAAAATGTAGAGGCAACTAGTTTACTGGTGCTATTTTTCAGTTAAAATATTTGCACTTGTTATTCGTAAAGCTTCTTAATAATAGTCTTTCATTTGTGCAAAAGTAGTGTTTCATGTTGTATTTATACTGTAACTTTCCTGTGAAAAGAAAACTGCTTGTTGTTCAACTGTAACATTTTATTATACCAAAGCACTTTATTTTTGTTCCAACTTATTTTATAGCTGTGGTCCAGACAGGATTTTTTTTTAAAAAAAGCATTTTCCTTAAAAGTGAAAAGGTAGCATGTTTAGTTGCGTTACATTTTAAATAACGATTCACTTTTATTTTTGTTACTTGAGCAATACGTAAAATTGCCTTAATGCAACAGTTGAAAAAGTTACATTTAAGCATGGAGTCATGTTTAAAACTTATTAAATGTGAAAAAGAAAAAGACTATTATCTGCATTTGTCATTCTGTCTTGCAATGCAGACTGGAGTTAATCATGCAGATTCTGTAGACTGAAGCATAATTTTTTTATGAATCAAATCGTTTTGAATGAAAAATCGTTTTTGAATCAAAAATCATTATGAATCGAAAATCGAATTTGAATTGAATCGTGGCCCCCAAAATCGGAATTGAATCGAATCGTGACATAGAAAAAGATTCCCACCCCTACTGGTTATGGCACTGATGTAGACCTGAAATGGCAGAGTACTGTCGATGATGACACCCGTATTCTTAATCTGAGTGGAGGGGGAAACAAAAGTGTTGTCACATCTCCGGAGTTCTGCATTTCAGTTGCAGCGGAACTCAAAATTCTGCAGCCGGACTGACGTTAGTTCTGAGTTGAAAGCTTTCCAGTTTCAAACTTGTCAGAACGTCAGAAAAAGTGTTTTTTTTTTGCTCTGCAACAATTACACAGCAACAGTGCTCTATCAATCAATCAATAAGTTCTTTCACTCAATTCAACAATTTCATCATTAACATACAAAACACGTTTCTTGTAACACTTATTATACATGAGTGAAAAGGAAGCATTTAAGAAGAAAAACCTTGTACAAACCTGCTCCTATAAACAACAGTGCTCTATGAGGCATTTTGAGTATACAGAGGTAAACATGTCTCCTAATAATCACTACTGTATAAAGTACTACAAGTATGTCTGACTTAATGTAAAGTATAATGTGCAGAATTCCTTAAAAAATGTAAAATAGTTTCATGAGAAGGGCAACCATGTTGAAATGATGATGTAATGCGTGCTCTTGCTGCTCGGGTATGGTCGTGTTGTGTCGACCTCTCGACTCAAAACTACGACCTCAGTGGGTGTTCCAAGTGAAAATTACAACTCGGATGTGCAAAACTACGACCAACGAGGACAACAGGAACGCAGCATCAGTCTGTAGCCCGAAATCCCGCCTCATAGGGCACCCCTTCCCCGGAACATTGAAAAAATGCTGAAGGGGGGTGTGTGTTCAAACTGGTAGGAGGTTCTTAAAGAGACAGAGGTCAATTCCAAGGCATTTGGATTTGATTAGGTTTGATATATAGTGTTTTCAAAACAACTAAAGATGGGCCCTGTGATGGACTTGCGACCTGTCCAGGGTGTACCCTGCCCCTCGCACTGTGACTGCTAGATATGGGCACCAGTGACCCACGCAACCCTGAAAAAGAAGAAGCATGTACAGAAAATTGATGGAGGGATGGATGGATTGTGGTATGGAATTGAACTACAGTATGTGCTTGGGAAATATATAATACCCCCTTTTTAAAGAGTTTATTCAGTTAGGTAGTGCTCACACTATGTGTAGTGGATGACTTTCAGCTACTACCACATCACATTTTAGCTCAGCTTCTGTTATTCGTGTGATCAGTTGTGTTGGTCATCTTTAATTGCCCAACCCTAACATAACTGGTTCATGAGATATTTTAGCAGACATTAATTAATTGCCTTTTATTGCAATGGACAATAATTATCTGTATTGTTTGGGAATCTTGTAWTTTTTTTATGGTCTGTGCATCGATAGAACTGCAAGACTATTTTTATGTTTTCTTTTCTCAGTTGCAAACTGGCTGAGCC